TGGCTGCCTGTAAACTAATGAAAGCAGATGGTCTGAGGCGCTGGGTGCTGACCCTGGGCCTGAATGGATTTGTTCCATTGAATTCACTCTATAACTAGGACCTAACACCCCAAAAGTGTGATATTTGAGGTTTTTTTCCTTTGAATTGCAGACTTCCTTCCCACCAGGCCCTATCACAACCTGATATAAAACTGAGCTTCAGAAGAGGTACAAAGGGCTACTGTTACAAAAATGCATGCCCAAACAAGGTTGGGATGGATATTAAGCAAGTCATCGATTACTTGAGGATTTCCTCCAGAAATGTGCATGCAGTTTTGGTGGGGGCAGGGCAAGTTATTTATTCATTTTTATTATTTTCTCTAAGGTGGTCACCTCCTTAAGGAGGCAAAAGGGGTGTGTGTGTGTGTGTGTACCAGAGCAACAGAAGAAAGTCTTTTCCTTTCTTTTTAAAATTAGCTTTGTAAAACACTTGCTGTAAAATCTCTCTCTCTCTTTGTCAGTCGCAGGGGGAGGAGAGAATATCTTCCTTTCTACAGATTCACTACAGGAGGCATTTTGCAAAGGTAATTTTTTTTAATGGTCAGATGATAACCTGTTTTCCCCAAATTTTTTTATGTCTGAGCAAAGAGCTTGGATATTTCCTGGCACACAATAATTTATTTTTGAGCTTTTTTAAAAAAAAGCGGGGGAGAGAAAGAAACTTTATGGAATTGTGAGTCAGAAAAACAAGTGAGCCTAGATCTAATGAGTCGGACCATAGGTTCATCCAATCCAACATCTTGTTTCCAAAGTGTCCACCAAAAATTTCGTGAGAAACCCACAGGCAAGAGCAGGGCCATCCCACCCATTAGGCAAAGTGAGGCAACTGCCTCAGATGGCAAGATCCAGAGGGGCAGCAGATCCCAATATAGATATTTATTCTGCTTTTGTTCCTGCTGTATTTCTTCACTCACCCCTTCTTCCCTGGCAGGGAAGGGAGCGTCATTTTGTGGTTTGCCTCAGGTGCCAGAACATCCTGGGCCAGCCCTGAGCAAGAGACAATGATGTGCCACATGGGCTGAAAAGAATGTGGAATAAAGGGAGTGGTGATTGCTTAAACAATTCATTTCAGAAATGAGACAGCTTCAAAGGTCTTATATAGCCTATATTTTTATGTAGAAAACAGTAGGCAAACCCTGAGTATGTCACAATGTGTGGTGAGCATCCATGCACTGAACTGTGGCCTCCTAGCATGTGTACACTGAAAGTATGTGCAGCAAAATAAACACTTGTGTAAGCAGAGCAACCACCTAATGTTTGCCTGATGTTTTGCTAAGCCAACAAAAATGGTGCTAATTGAGTTTCAGCTTTTCTCTGGCAGTGATCTCCCTTCCCAATAAACTTCTCATTGCAAAGTATTTCTTGCTTTTTCCAGCAAATCAATGGTAATTCCAATATTAGGTGTGGCTGTTTTCCATTTCTCTAGCTGGAACATCCAAAACTTTGGTATTTATGCCTGGTATTTTTATGACTATCACATGCAACAAATGAAATGAGTCAATATGATACATCTTACAGGAACCGTCCCAAAAAAAGGATGGTGACAGTGAGAGGGAGAGAGGGAGTGGTGGTTGGTTGGGGGGGGGGAGACTTTTGAAGGCCAACTTCTTTTAAGAAAAAAAATGGAGTTGATTCATGTCTTTATAAATCCCCACTGGGCTTGGCTGTTTTCATGACTAATTTCTTTCACTAACCGCAGCTTCACAGCCTCTGACCTTACGACAGCAAGCCGGCTGTAGGAAAACACGGGCCTGATGCGAGAGGGCATGCTTTAGCTCATGCACCAAATCCCTTGTGGCTTGTTAACTATCCTCACAAATACCCCTCGCCAAATGAAGTTGTTAAATTGCTGTGGATGGTGCCTATAACCTGACTTCCATGAAGACTGGGCTGCAAAATGGAAGAAATCGAATTAGATACATTCAGCTACTTTAAAAACAGAGTATTATGCGCATTAAGACACTTTCAGTGTGCATGTGTGATACTGAGGCAGCAAATTCATAAGGGGGAGGGGCGGGTGGAGAAGAAGAAGAAGAAGAAGAAGAGTTTGGGTTTGATATCCCGCCTTTCACTCCCTTTAAGGAGTCTCAAAGCAGCTAACATTCTCCTTTCCCTTCCTCCCCCACAACAAACACTCTGTGAGGTGAGTGGGGCTGAGAGGCTTCAGAGAAGTGTGACTGGCCCAAGGTCACCCAGTAGCTGCATGTGGAGGAGCGGAGACGCGAACCCGGTTCCCCAGATTACGAGACTACCGCTCTTAACCACTACACCACACTGGCTCTCAGAATAATGCTATATTCCAGTGGTGGGGAATTTCCGGTCTGGGTGTTGAATGCAGCGCTCTTAGCTTTTGTCTCTGGGCCTTGGAATTCTCTGTAGCCACTCACCCCACAACCCTCACTGGCCCTCCTTGGCACACTGGTTCAGTGTTTTTGCATGGCTAAGATGTGTTCCTGAACTCTGAAAACCCACTTGCTTGTTCAGATGGAGGACAGAGCGGAGTGTAGGAGTCAGTGTAGAAACTAGCTTACTGCAGAAAGGTAAAATTTGCATGTGACCAGAGATGGGAATTGGAATCAGTTCTTAGTTAAAGGCAATCCCACCTAATTTATAATCTCTGAAACAATCTGTGAACTGAAACGCAGCTGTCCTTTGAAATTCACACATTTCCGAATTTTGCAATGCAGTTCTCCAGCCAAGTATTGTGTACAAAGATGCAATATACTATGGTAAAATGCATGTGTTAGTAAAAATTAATATACAAAACCACATTTTATTAAGGGAAGCTGCTTTGCAAGAATGTGTATATTAGGGGAAGTTTACACTCAAGTTCTGAGGACTTTTCATGAGGTGAAATGTAGCCAGATGTGGAAATGTAGACAACCAAACTTAAGACTAGAAAGATGAGCAACAGAGAATCTGAAATGATGCATTGCCCACTTCTACATGTGGCTCTTGCATGGTTGACTAAAAGGGAATGTAGCCCTCTAGCCCCTTCCCACTATATAATTATAGAGAGAAAAATCCTAATTCCCAAGTCTTATGTAGCCAAAGCAGCAGCATCCATCTTTCAGCAGGCTTGAGAGAACAGCAAGGTTTGTAGAAGGAATTTTTTTTAAAAGAAAAAAACCCACAATGAGAGTTTGGGGAGGAACCAGACCTTCTCAGTAACCATGGAAGGCTGGTTGGCTGTTGGGGGAACAGAATGGAAATAGAATAGAAATAGAATAGCATGGCGCTACCTGAAAGAGTCCATGGCTAGCTGCTGTGAGCATCCCTGAAAGGAGAACAAAGTCCCTGCGGGATACTTTTCTGTTGTACCTACCAAGCGTGGCCTTGGTCCTCAGTGTGCTGTTCTGTCTGGCTTCTTCCTTCTGCCTTCTTGTCCAGTTTGGGGAATGCAGGAGTCTTAGTGATGCCTTTCCAGATCTTTCTCACCATTCTACCGACAAAACTGTATTGCCACAATGAGCTTGAGCTGAGCTAACTGGGATGCCCCTTCCAAAAGTTTGGAGAATCCACCATTCCCGCCTCAAAGCATGGCATATATGCATTGCAAGCCCTAGGGCTGGGTGTGGGTGAAGTTCCTTTGCATGCCTGGCTTTAAGTGGTCACACTCTTCCATCCATCAGGGTAGTACATGCAGAAGCTTCTGTGCTTGCCCTCCATGCATGCAAAGAAGGAAGGCTCCTTCATGTCCCAAACTGGTAAGTGTTCTCATGCCAATTACTTCCTACCGCCCATTACATTGCAGGCTTTTGCACTGAAAAACGGCACATTTGCAGGTGAAGGCAAATTGCTAAACATTACCTGAGCATAACACCATCTGCTTATAACTAACACCTTTTTGATGGTGCCTTAGAGAAATGCTGCATATCTAGATAATGCTACTTAACATTGTTTAAAATGGGCACAAGGAATGTGCAAGAGAATAAAACCACAGGCTCAGGAATAAATATTGCCTTCTTTCCTGAGGAAACTTTCAGTGCCTTGAGTTATGCCGTGTTCTTCTCCCACTGCGACATTTTTTGACAAGGGATTAATTTATTTGTGAGGAAACCAGAACCAGATCTTCTTTAATGTCCTCTCTCTTCCTCATCCCCGTTGGAGCTGAAAGACAGCTGATACTTTATAGTGTCACCTGGAGGATTTTATATGATTTCTATAGAGCCCAAGCTACTGTGTATGGTGCTTCTTCCACATCTGGATTTTCGGCTAACGTTATGGAGGAACTGGTTAAGGAGGCAAATAGCCTTCCTACACACTAAGCCTCTACAGCAGAAACCCCACATAAGAGCTGATAGCAAACATTACAAATTTTATCTTAGCTCATTGCAAGATGCTTCTTGGGGTGCATGTGGCTATATTTGCCCATTTGCACCCTGAAATTAACAGAAGATCCCATTCACAAGCAGTAACACAGAATGGTTCCCCCCGCATGAGATGTGCACAAAGCAAAGGATGCTGTGCTCATATCCCATCGTGCTTTGCCAATGCCGCGGTGAAAACTCTTAGGCCATGTTACTTTCCCATCTGATGATCCCACCTGAACACGATCAGTTATGGACGCCTGTTCTGCTGCCTGCCATGTCAAAGCCAACCAGGCTCCATGACCCACCCAAACTCTACCATGCTCCACCACTTGTCCAGACAAACATATCATTGGATTCACCCACTGTCTCATGGGCAGGGAACCTTGATCAGCCTGAGGACCACATTCCCTTCTATGTAATCTTCCAAAGACCATATGCCAGTGGCAGTGGGCAGGAGCAAAAGCAGGCAGGGCAGCATATTCTTCCCTAGCCTCCATCGAGGCAGGCAAGGACCATTATTGGGGTTCAAAGAAACATCCTAGTCAAGCAAGGAGTGTGCGAAGCAGGAGGACCAAGGAGTGGTGTGGCTGGGGAGAGTCCCAGGGACCAGACAGAGAAGCATAGAACCATAGAATAGAATATATTTTTTTGCCTAGCGTGGGGCTCAAACTCATAGCCTTGAGATTAAGAGACTCATGCTCTACCGACTGAGCTATTCCAGTGCAGGGTCAGATGTTTTCTCTGAGCCTGAGCTTTCCCATTCCTCCACTACATGATGTCTCTCGATGTTAGACATCGCTGTTTATGGCATGTCATCATAATGCTTGGCATCAATGCTTTCCCATGGGGTGCCCCAGGCTATACTGCCTGCACTGCACTGCTTTCCTTTCACAACAGCACGACCAGTAGAAATCAATCCAGGAATGCTTTCCCCATCACTTTATATGCCAGCTGAGAAAGCTGTGCCTGCACAATTTCTGTTTATTAAACTGTCTAATAAACACACAACAAGCACAGGGAACGTTTACTTGGACACTATCCCCAATTACTCTTTTTTTCTTTTTTGTTCCTTCTTCTGTTTTTGTCTCTGTGTGTTTCCCTTATCAGAACTCATATGGGAGAAGCAATAATTTTTATTTACTTACTTCATATATAGTCTTCTGTATCATTTTTAACAGGATGTATTCTGCTTTGGAAACTTTTTGTATATGCAATCTAAATAGAAAATGGGGAGGGGGGGAGAGAAAAGTGAGACTGAAATGGTTAAATGCTTGTTTAAACACTTTATACCTTTAATTACTTGGATCCCATGAAATATTTCATTCAGCTGCTGCTTTTCCCAGGGCAATTGGAGATCATCATCTTCCTTCCATGCTGATGATTTTTAAAAGCATCAGATTGTAACACTGTGCAGACAAATGCAATCCTTTCAAGAAATTTAATAAAACAGACGGCTACTTTGGGTGGGTGTGTATGTTATATCTACGTGGGATTTTGAATCTGAAGCAAACGGCAGCCTCACTTTATCAAGCATCCTACAGAACTGGCAGCACCTGCAGTCTTGAGAGAACTATGCATTCTCCCCAAAATAGACTGTGGGAAAATAATAATAAATTATTTCCTCCAACTGTTGGAATACTATTATGAATGTTATACTGGGGGAGTGGGGGACTTAATTGAAGAACAAAGGCATTGTATCATCTGCCATTGCAACTGATGAACCCCCTTGCTGAGGAGATAATGAGGTTTCAAGTTTGCATGTGACAGACTCCACAGAGGAATTCAAGGAGTGATCAATGGTAGAGCATCTTCTTTACATCCGAAGATCCCAGGTTCAATTCTTAGCATCTCCCAGTAGGGCTGGGACTGCCTCCTGCCCGAAACCCTGGAGAGTTGTTGCCAGTCAGTGTGGACATAGTATAATTCTGAGTTATTGTTCTGCTGCAGTGATGTCCACATTGCCTCCACATTGCGGCAAGTGCCGGATTTTTCTAGTGCAAGTCGGTAGCTTACAGAGAAGGCCCCAGAAGGTTCCATATGGCTCGGCATGAAAGACGCTTTAGACAGGGGGAAGTGCAGACATCACAAAAAGTATTTAAAATGTCGACTTTGATATTTTCCTCCCTTTTCTTGTGTTTTGGCTTTCTGTTGTGGTGCCTTTTCCTTTTTCTGGATAAACCCATTTCTACTTGGGGGAGATAAGTGCAGAGGGAGATATCTCACATATGTAAAGATAAAGAAAATGCTGATTTTATTGAGCCCCAGATTAGTAGGAAAGGACATCAAGATAATGAGCTAATAAAAGAGATGCTGAAAGTGCACATGAAAGGACGTTTACTTGGATCAGCAGAATTATAGAGATTCTTTAATCCTCCTTCTGGGATATATTTATGATGGAAGATCCCAAATTGGCTTTCATTTTCATCCAGGGATGCTGCCAAATTCTTCTCATCTGAATTTCTTCCCAGATTTTGGAGTTCTGAGATATTTCGTCTCTCTTCCACACCCCCCAAAGTGGAAACAATGCAACAAGAATTCTTCATTGTTCTGTTCCACCCCGCCCCAAAAGGTTGCACAGAGCACTAGGCAGAGTTTGTCAAAGTGTTCACTGATTTCCATTGGGCAAGATCTAGTTGTGGCAGCCCACCAGTGCAACAGCCACTTCTGCTAGCAGAAGTGCCATCCCTAGTAGAGCACAGAAACCAAAACCAATGGGTGCCAGTGGAAGTATTGCTCAGTGCTAACATATATTGTTTTTTACTATTACTATTACACGCCATGATCACTGCAGATGGTGACAACAGCCACGAAATTAAAAGACGCCTGCTTCTTGGGAGAAAAGCATTGACAAACCTAGACAGCATCTTAAAAAGCAGAGACATCACCTTGCCAATAAAGGTCCGTATAGTAAAAGCTATGGTTTTCCCAGTAGTGATGTATGGAAGTGAGAGCTGGACCATAAAGAAGGCTGATCGCCGAAGAATTGATGCTTTTGAATTATGGTGCTGGAGGAGACTCTTGAGAGTCCCATGGACTGGAAGAAGATCAAACGTATCCATTCTTAAGGAAATCAGCCCTGAGTGCTCACTGGAAGGACACATCCTGAAGCTGAGGCTCCAATACTTTGGCCACCTAATGAGAAGAGAAGACTCCCTGGAAAAGACCCTGATGTTGGGAAAGATGGAGGGCACAAGGAGAAGGGGACGACAGAGGACGAGATGGTTGGATAGTGTTCTTGAAGCTACCAGCATGAGTTTGACCAAACTGCGGGAGGCAGTGGAAGACAGGAGTGCCTGCTGTGCTCTGGTCCATGGGGTCACGAAGTATCAGACATGACTAAACAACTAAACAACAACAACTATTACACGGGTGGTGCTGTGATCTAAACCACAGAGCCTAGGGCTTGCCAATCAGAAGGTTGGTGGTTCAAATCCCCGCGACGGGGTGAGCTCCCGTTGCTTGGTCCCTGCTCCTGCCAACCTAGCAGTTCGAAAGCACGTCAAAGAGCAAATAGATAAATAGGTACCACTCCGGCGGGAAGATATACAGCATTTCTGTGCGCTGCTCTGGTTTGCCAAAAGCGGCTTAGTCATGCTGGCCACATGACCTGGAAGCTGTCTGCGGACAAACGCCAGCTCCCTCGGCCAGTAAAGCAAGATGAGCGCCGCAACCCCAGAGTCATCCGCGACTGGACTTAATGGTCAGGGGTCCCTTTACCTTTACCTTTACTCCTGATGGTGCTACTGCTTGTGCATATGTAATAGCTGGCACAACAATGCCGAATCTCCCACTTTTTACACTAACATTATAATGGATAGCACCTATTCATTTTCACCTATCTACATTACCGCTGTATGCGTGTGCAATCATAAAGCACTGCAAAGAAGCAATGCTGTGAACAAAAAGTTTTTTATTGCCCCACATGTGCACTCCGAGGCATTGATAAAACTCTGAAAAGGTAAACATGAGGTGATTAGTTATACGGTTACATCAGGATTCTTTTTTCAGCAATAATTTACATGCAAGAGCGCATGTGCTCATTAATAAAACACTCTGCAATCATGCATTTGATTGTCACAAGTTTACTTCTTTGCAGTGTTTCATCAATGTTCCCATGTGCCTGGGTAATGCACAGTTGGAAAAAAGAAGCATATGATATTCTAAGGAACTTCAGCAGTGTAGTTAGAGTTGGTTTGGTTTAACCAGCTGTAAATTTCTGTGAATTATCATTGCCAAACAAACCAGTCTGCCTACTGGGGGCAAGAATGGGTTGGCTTTCAAGATGCAGGTGAGAAAGGGGAGCAGGAAGGCTTACTGTTTTCCCTAAAACTTTTGCTATGTTAAATCTAAATATATATATACCATAGATGGTGCCTCACCACACACACATTGACAGGCCTGAGAGCCAGTGTGGTGTAGTGGTAAAGAGCGGTAGTCTCGCAATCTGGGGAACCGGGTTCGCGTCTCCGCTCGTCCGCCTGCAGCTGCTGGGTGACCTTGGGCCAGTCACACTTCTCTCGTCTCTCAGCCTCACTCACCTCACAGAGTGTTTGTTGTGGGGGAGGAAGGGAAAGGAGAATGTTAGCCGCTTTGAGACTCCTTAAAGGGAGTGAAAGGCGGGATATCAAATCCAAACTACTACTCTTCTTCTTCTTCTTCTTCTTCTTCTTCTTCTTCTTCTTCTTCAAAAGAAAGTTTTGGAATTCGGTAGAAAGGGCACATTTCTAAGGTCATACAGCCTATATTTCATGCTCTTCTTTGCAGCGTGTTTTGTGATTTTGCTATTTATTCTGTTAAGACAGCATTTGTTTAGTTAGTGATTTGTTTAAATGGCATTCGTTTTCATTACTCACATTAATTTTCTATTTCTCTCATTTCTTCTTCTTATTATTCTCCTCCTCCCCCCCCCGCCCCCGTGGTGATGGCAGCAGTGCTGATTCCCTCTCTCCCATTGCAATGCCCCAGAAGAGCACAACATTCAGAGAAGAAAATGGCTGTTGCAGAAGGTGGCCAATCAAATCAGCTGCTGTTGCCAATGCAAATGGAATAACAGAAAAAGAACCCTTTTGTACATTTCTTTTCGAGTGAATGAAAACTCACACCTCAAATGAAATAATAATAGGACAAACAGCAACGAAAAAGTAGATGCTCTTGCCACATGGAAATAATCTATTTTCCTTCATAATAGCATCCAATCCCCCACATGATCTAAAGGGTATATCTTTAAAAGTTCAAGAAAAGAGATTTAGCTTACCTTTATATGGTTGAAAAATGCATGGTTCCACTTTCAAAAAGGAGATAAACTAATGAATTAGCCACTTCAACTTCTTACTTCCTCTGCCTGAATATAAAATAAAGAGGATTACAAAAAGAAAAATGCTTGTGTCCTCCAACTGAAGATAGAATAACTGGTGTAAAATAACACCTACAAGCTATATAATTGGTGTATTGGTTTATAGTGATATTTGTTAAATATAAATCAATGTGGAGCTATGCAGTTCAGTTTTTCAGTTGTTCTAAAACAAATGCACACCCTTAAATCTCAATCCTCCTCTCTCTCCAAATTTGCATTATTGAAGTGTTTGCATTTCTTCTCTGTGACAACTAATGCCTAAATCAATAGAAAACATATTAAAATGAAATTTGTCTCTATTCACACTGGGGGGGGGGATACTCTGTGTTTGAGCCAGTTTCCCCTCGCACAAGCTCTTACATTTTCTGGAAT